AAAGTGCGGCGTCAGCGTCCCCTACGCCATCAGCTCATCTGTGGACTGTTCTAAGATTCGTTGATCGACCACTTCTTCTCATCATCGCTGCATATAGCTCCAGCGATCTACGCTGAGTACGTTGAGGTCATACACATACATATACATATATATGAATAAGTGCTCTCATATTATCTCACTGCGTGACAGCGAGAGGAGTACCTACGTCCGGCCAGCTCTGCATGGCAGGCCACACTGTTGTATTGATGTTTGGTTGTTCCTTCACCCTTTTGAGAGGACTCATGAGTTTGTTCTTCTTTGTACCGTGTGCACTTTTGATATATGGATCTTACACTAGTAGAAAAACACCTAATAGTCCCGGTTCGTGAGGGCCTTTAGTCCCGGTTCATGAACCGGGACTAACGGGCCGTTACTAATACCTCCACCCATTAGTCCCGGTTCAAACAAGAACCGGGACTAATGTGCCTCCACGTGACTCTGTGCGCCGAGCCCAGTCAGGGGGCCTTTGGTCCCGGTTGGTGGCACCAACCGGGACCAAGAGTCCATGTTTTTTTTTGGAAAGTGGCTGCTTTAGGGGTTTTGGGGGTTATTTTTAGGTTGTTATATTAGCTAGCTAATAGAGAGAAGTGTCCTCTCTTATATCTTCGTCCTTGGTTTACCAACGCTGCTGCTATATATGTTCATTTTACCCGCTGATATAATAACTCATGCATGCTCGCATACATCAGCATATATAATAACAAGTACTCGTCCTACTAATCATGCATCATCATACAACTTCTACTCGTTATTAATAATAAGTCATACGATCATCATCCTCATAGTCATCGAACCCAACCCTACATAATTGTTCTTAACACATGATCATCAGTATCAGGTAGGACCTAAACACCCTTATGGTAAAATAGCATAAAACAATATAGACCCTGACTCTCCATTATGAAGAATGGCGATCATCCTGTCTCCAATTTTTCCCCTTCGCTGAATGTTGCTTCCAAGAAGCTCCTTACGACTGTCCATACATTTTTTCCATTCTTTGATTGTCATGTCTCCACTTCTATTAGAAACCCGGTATGGACAGTTCAGATTCATAGGAAGACCTGGTTGTATGTTCAAAACATGAATGCTACCGTGTGTATACATCAGATGAGACACACAATCATTCGGGATTATCTGTTGACAAACATAGTAATAACTTCGTAGTTAGCAATGATATGATGTACTAGTTTTAGAAGTGTGCAAAAAGATGCACGGATGTCGTAATAGTAAAAAATCTTACCAGGGTATCTCCATGGTAGTTACCGTAGTTCAACACGTGCACTAGTGGCACGTATTGACCATAATGTTGAGGAGTTCGATTGTAGACATTGTAATTGTTAAGATCAGTACAAAATGCGACCAGATGATTTTTCTCCTGATAAGTTAGTTCGGAGCCTTCGGTGTAGTAGGTTCTGTCTACCATCTTCCGCACATTCTTTGAAGAATGAAAATAAGCTGTCAATGGACAATAAGTTGTCAACTATTTTGAAATAAACAATATAAATTACTTAATAACTATGTTAACCTCACATGGGGGAAGAATTGGAGGTGTATCCACAAGGACAAAAATCGTAGGTCTCTCTTGCTCGATTGTAGGATCACCAAGATCCATGCTAACAAGCATACCCTCATCAAAACCATACATCTTGCAAAGTTCTTGCCAATTTTTGCAACCAAAATGGGTTACACTCTGAGCATTGTACAACTTTACTTGAAAATCCACACCATGATGGGTACTTAGGATAATTTTTTTGGTTTCGAAACTTTCATGGTCTTCAAAACCCATCCTCTCCAAGACATAGCGTCTTGCAAAATATGGGATAAGCTAGTCGAATTGGAAAAGATGAAAAATATTTTCATGATTAAAATAGTTGAAGTCATGAGTAATTATGAAAAAAAACTATTATCGTTGTTTGCGTACCGTATGAACATCGAAGGTCTCCTCGAGCTTAATG